TAATAATAGTATTTATAAGCATTTTCCCTATAAAAACACTTAAGATAAACTTAAAGGGCCTTAAATAGATAAAACRCCACCAGACCAGATGACTGAGGTAAAGTTTGAGTCCAGCAGAGAGCAGCGCAGCTTTATTTATGATCAACTGTGACGCAAAGTTCTTCACTTGCAATGTATAAATTATATGTAAGCAATCAATGTGCACTGTGTTGTATTGTAGTGTAAAATTAACTTCCCACAGGACCCAAAATAAAAAAAAATGTTTAAGATGTTGGTGTTGCTTTAATTTATTGTATTAAGCGTCAATGTTTACGAAAGACCTGAAATTAATAAAATGTTCTTAGTTCAAGTTAAATACYTAACAAAAATTAAAACAACCCCACCCCCCACAAAGGTTATTAACATGCTTATTTTATTCTTTTTTAATATGCTGAGTCATCAGTAGCATGTTTGTGTGTTTCGGACGATGTGCTTTCGGAAATATTTACCAAGACATCTGCCTCCGGTGTTGTCCYGATGTACGCAAAATCACACACAACAAAAGCCAACAGGTAGGGTGACATGATCTCAGAGGGTTCGAAGCTGGTCTGAATTAAATTCTCCCCGTTCACAGTGAYGTTCATGGGTTCTGCACAGGAACAAAAAACAACAGCAGACTCAGTCACATCTGCGTTTGTGTCCACAGGAGTACATCATCAATAAGACTGATGGTAATCCACTCCTTCAGATTTAGTAAACAGATACAAACAGTAACTTCTAACACTGGGAAACATAGAAACACAGGAAGCAATGCTGTCAGGCTCAGTCTGTTCAGGAAGTTTGCAGGATAATAAAAAGAGAAACTTGCCGTAGTTCATGGAGTTTGACAGAGCCACAGTCCCCTGAGGGTGAAGCAGAGTTACATAGAAAACAGCTTTCAAAGCTGGCTCATCAAAGCAGGGGAAGGCCTTCCTGGCATGTGTTGGCTGCATTTGAGTTGTTGCCACAACTCTGATGAAGCAGAAAACATGAGCAGTGTTTAATATGATGCATGTTATTATCAACACCTGGCGTAACACAGGGGGAAAAAAGAGAAGTTATTTGTGAGCAATTGTAGAGTGTATCCAGAGAAACAAAAAAAGTGATTTCTCACCCCACGCTCAGACATATGCACATATTTGTATATACTGTATGTGTACGCATTTTGATATTTGTGCAATTTTAATGTGAGAGCTGGATCCACCCRATGGAGTTTACATGAGAAATGAACACATTCTGCACCCGTCTAAAATCTGACGACTGAAAGAACTGACTTGGAGCTGGATTCCAACCAAGTTCTGCTCAATCAGTTGTTT